TACAGATGTCAAAGTGGTGTGGATCTGCTTTGTAGAACTGTCTTGTTGAGCTGCCTGCCCGCATAGCAGTTGCAGGCATTTTCACAGTCGGTTCATCATCTTGCCGTTTTCTATTCTACATCATTGTGAGATTTGTTTCTTTTTCTAGATGTCATTCAGAATTCTTGATGTGGCTTTATTCTAAAATATTATTCTATTACTTGATTTTCAGTTGTGGTATTTTTTTTTTTCTGGACTTAACATATCTAGAAATTGGAAGAATGTTGCTTAGAGTAAACCTCACATACTGTTTGTTCTCTTAGAGCTTCTCTTTCCCCAGTCTGTGGTCTGGGTTTTCTTTCCTTTATGGTGAACAATGAAGAGTGAGAGAGAAGCACCCTTTAAAGGGAATCTGATTTGCTTTCTAGGCAAAAGGTCTTCCCATATGGTCTATCTTGATTGATGGAAGTAGGTGATCTGCCTAATAGCTGTTTTTATAGCTTTGCTGTGGAAGATGCTAGAGATTTTGTGTGTATGAAAGTATTAATCTGCTCTTTCCTCAATCAGGGATGTGCATGTATTTCCCCTTGGAAGTCTGTAGGAGTGGAGTCATCCGGAGTTCAAGAACACTTAACTACATTGTCTCCATATTCCACGGAAGGCATGCGGTATTTATGTACGGGGCCAATCCCAGAGCACGCTTAGGTTGTTTTATTTTCCTCCTAGCATCTGACATGCACATGAAGGTCACCAAGATACCCTCTACAGGTCTTCCAACCTTCTACCATGGAAAGATTGCAATTGATCTTTTCTGGGTTGGAAGCCCCTGTACTGTTAGTTCACCATATCAAAAATGAATGCTGCTGCAATTCTACTAATGTATATGTGGGTGGCCAGGTTTTATTTTGAACCTAAACCAGTTCACTGTGAAGCTCCTCTTTAACTATTAATCCAAGGGACCAAGTCTTATCTTTTGCCTAACACCTCAGAGAGGATTATGTTGTTTTTTTCTCTGAGCATGACAGAAATACATAAGATCACTTCAGGTTTCTGCATCTTTGACCTTATCTCAAGAAGAACAATTTCCCTGCTCCCATGAAAGTGGAAGTTCCAAGACCATGTCTGCTTGAAATACAGATCATGTTTTCTCAGTGTGGGATTGTAAGGCCAAGGTTGCATCCTACTGCATTGTAGTTATATATTAATAAAGTATAGGTCCAAAGGGCTTGTCCTGCCTTCTTTCAAAGTACCTTGGTGTGGTGGAACTCTTCTTCATTTCTGCTGTTCTACTTGCTGTGCTACAGAAACCCTGGTCTTGTTGCTAGCTTCACTTGCCTGTTCTTTTTCCTTTTCTACTGTGAGAAGCCTGATCTCAAGATAGACAGCAGCGCTGGTAGGTTATTTACGTGTTTTGTCTGATTATCTCATGGCGATAGCTTTTTTTTTTTTTTTATTTTGGATTCCAATGGGACAAAGTGTTTCAATATTTAGTAAAAGGCCCTCTACATCTATGCTTTAGAATCAGCCACTTGTTTTTACTTTGTTTCGTACTAAGGGTGGCATTGAAGCAATCTTTCATAACCTTGATCAAATCATACAGGTTAAAAGGGTTTTCGCTTGCAGCTTCATCAACAGACTAATAACAGTTAGGGGATTACCAAGTTTCTCTATACTGATGACGGGGAAAGATGCGTGTTTCCACTGCTTTTATTGTGGAGTGGGTTTCTTTTGTCCTTTATGATCCTCATAGCTATGATAAAGCTGATTTTTTTTTTTTTTTTTCTGATGAGTAAACAGTATTACTATCAGGCTTCTCAGCATGTTCTGACTGTAGTTGCTGGAGACATTCAGAATACAGCTGTACATGCAGACCCAAACGCTTGTCGTTTTTGGGTTGTGGTTCATGCGTCCCTGGAAACTGCTTTCTACAACCAAGTCATTACAGGAAGTTGGCTAAGAAAACTTTGCTATATATCACTCAAGAAATGTAAATGTCTGATGAAAATCAGGCATTTAAAGCGATTGCCACATTTCAGGAGAATACATAGTCACTATTGTGGAAAAGTTCATGCAAGGTCACCTGAATTGTTGCTGGATAAAAGAGATTATGTGGGAATTTCTTTCCTTCTCCTCTCTCTACAAACCTGCACTCGCCTTTTTTGAACAAAAGAAAAGGAGGTTTATAGTGCTCAAAAGGTTGTGACTGTCATGCCAAAAGCAGTACATGTTGTTAAACACTTTATGGATGTAAAGTAAGCATTGTTTGTCAGGGTATTCCCCATCCTTTTAACGAAATACTTTTTTATTTTGTTTTCCTTCTTCCTCTCTCTAATGAACAGTTTTGTAGAAGATTAACTGTAGTCTTGGCTGGAAAGAGTATCTTAAGTGGCTAAATAAAAATGGCATTCCTATTTTCAGAGTTATAAATTGGCATTAAGGTGTCTGACCTTGTTTGCCTGTTCTTTCCCTTTATAGGAGATGAGATGCTGCTTTATAGCATTGCCAGGGAACGAGCATGCATTTAGCGTGCTCTCCGGACACCTGCAGCTCCTTTATGGGTGTCATTCTCAGTTGTTCTTTACTTCTGGCTTAAAATATCAAGTCTTTTCAGTTGCAGTGGTTTTTTTCAGTCTTGCGCTTATTCTTTTAATGTTTGATTATTTCCTGTCTGTTTGCTTTGAGAGTTGAAATTTACAATTCCAAGTAAATCATGATTTAAAAACTAGTTCTGCAAGGTTCAAGACACTTTCCTCCCACCTTCTTTGGATATTTCACTCTTTCAGTAGAACTGTTTTGGAGATTTTTCCCCAGCCTTATAGGAAAGCTTTTTGTGTATGTGTAAATTTGTGAGGCTGTTTACATTGATGCAGTTGCTGTCATGGAGGTTAAGAATTCGGTAATTCATAAATCAGTCTGAAATCCTGAAGTGGTTACACTGCATGATTGCTGAGCTGCCTTGTATGCAAGATACTCGTTTGGCATGATATGGATTCGTGCTTAACTGCTCTCACAATCTGCCAACAAAGGCCAACATTGCCCAAGCAAATGTCTAGAGAGATAAGAAGCTTGGAAAGAAACAGATTCTGCTTTAATTGAGTCTGACCTGTTGCAATGTAGAGCTCTGACCAGATTACTGATACACAGCAGGCTTCGTCCCTTGGCTATTCGGTGAAGGTTAGCTTTGCGTTAGAGAATAAAAGTGGATCTGAGGAAAAGATGAATCTTTTTCTTTGTTTTTTTTTTTGTTTGTTTTTCTCCTCTTTGTAGACTGTCGGTGCTGTTCTGTTTGGGGACATATAGAAAGTGAAGGCAGTTTGACAAGCAATAAAGCCTCTGCAGGAAGGGGAGTAGGAGCTACGAGGTAGTGGTTGATGACTGCATGACTCATTGACCATGTGACTAAAAAGTGAATATTTGGGTAAATTTCTGATTAGGAGCGAAATTGTCATATGCTAGCAAGTGTAGTGGAAGCTCTCCCTGCCTATTAGTAGCTTATCATATCAGTTATATATGTAGAAATGAAAGTATCTGCATTATAGCTAGTCTTTCAGTGTCCTGATGAGCTTTCACAGAAAGTGGCATTTCAAGGCATTGTAATGATTTTTGTGGACTGAAATGTCACAGAAATTATTTGTCAAATGCTAATTAGATAATATGGAGGACCTGGATCATTTTCAAACTGCTATGTGATAAATGATTCTCATTTTTCTGTCTGCCATACACTTATCTAAAATTCAGACAGTCAGTTTAGTCTTTTCATTGTTTTTTTTTTTTTAATTGTTGAAGAGCTGCTGTGGTATTGATCATGTTCAATTTTTAACATGTATATTTTTATGAGCAAATTTTTGCCCTGTTTTTGACCCAACCACTAATTTCACACATTTTATTCATCTTTGCCTGTTTTGGGGGAGTTAGTGCTCCAGTTATGTCTGTCTGTTTTTTTTGGGTTTTTTTTCTGTGCATTCTTCTGTGTAAAAAAAATATGCAAAATAATAATTCTCTTTATGTAACCCAAAAAGAGGCATATTAAAAAAATTAGAGTATGTTTAAATAATATTTCTCTGTATATTTATTCTCAGAAATATTTTACTGCTTTTTCCATCTATATTATGCTAAGATCTCACTTAAATGGGACTTGAATACTGCTCCTAGGAATATTCATCATCAACATTAATCCTCTTAAATATGTGTTTGGTGTGAGGCCAGCCCTCCAGATATGGAAGACCATGCCTACATTACTTATCTATGTGGCTGTTTATTAGTGAAGTAACACTTAGAGTTTGTATAGGTGTGTTTATCTCTCTAAAATATGTTATTTGCAAGTTTATACAGCTTTTCTCTATGTAGTTCTTAATGTGTATAGCCTCCTCCTGAAAAATGAGTTCTCTTCAGAGTATTTGCAAAGAGCTATATTCTCTCAGTATATGGTGGTAAGAAGTGGTATCATTGCTATTGGACCCGTTTGCGGCGTTTCCCTATGAAGTATGACGAGCCAGAACTAATACTGCTGCATCAGAGCAGAGGAGGAGACAGTCTTTTAAGGAATGCAGTACTGTGGAACCCAACCATAGCTGGATGAAGCTTCAAGTGAGTTCTGCTCCTGCAGGTTTAACTTGTGTGGAACGTGCATTTACATAAATATACATCTTTCCTGAGTCACATCTGGACTGGACTCAGTTTTCCCCGATTCTCTCTTCATGGGAGCGTGTTTCTTATTCAACAAAGTAGTGATTATTTCATATTCTAATTATGGAACTAATATGTTCTGTGGGGCATGGAAAGCAGGCAGTGGAAGTTGATGCATCATTACAAAATTATTGTATTTTAGAGAGGAAGAGGTAAAAATAAATTGCAACCCCAATGAAAAGCTGCCTGAAAAAGGAAGATGGGCATAAATCATAGGAGGTTTTATAAATATCTTGAGATTATGGCTGGAGGGAATGTTTATTGTTAATAATGTCTTACATTTCTTTACACAAAAAAATGGTCATTTTCTTTTTGCCTTTGTTTCTTAAGGAGGAGAATGAAAGCTCGAGCTCCTCCTCCACCAAATCAACCTTCTGCAGGAAGTAGAATTCACAGCGAGCAAAAGCCACCTGCGGAGCTAGATGCAATTTCTGGTCAGAGCCTTGTGAGCGTGAAGGAGAACATGATTAACAGATTGGTGGACTTCACAGTCATTTTGCCCAATGGGGTGGAGCAGAAGAGCACAGTACAAGGAAGGTAAGGCATGGATTAGCTCCCTCGTTCCGGAGCTTTTCAATTACACTACATTATGTATACATATATATATATATATGCATATATATTTTCTTTATATATATATGTATATATACACCAGTAAGTGTGTAAAATATATATATGTATCTATATAGGAACACACACTTACTGGTATTCATCTTTCTCTGTCCGCAGTGATGGAGCATTTCAGTCATGCTTTCCTCTGTTTTAGGTGGATCTCACTGAGAGTACTGAGAGGCACACACGAGAGAGTGTGTTTGTGTAGAAAGGAGGAATTGGTGGTTGGTGTCTTTGCATTCCCCACAGATGACCCTCACAAGCGCATGGATCCATGTTTTCCTGAGCTAGTCTTAGGCTGTTTTATATCTTGATATTCCTTGGGAATAGAGGAATTCTTCTATTACCTGGTGCGATCAAGAGGAAATTGTAGTCTGGTCTCCTTATTTGAGTGTCACAAGTGCCCAACATAGGCACTAAGTGCTCTTTTTCCATACTGGACTAAGCACTTGGGTGGCAAGTTAGAAGGAAATGTCAATCTCCTACAGCCTTCTTTAGGAGGTGATAGCAGATTATGGAAAATGAGGAAGGAGGTAAGCTATTTTTAACAAGTTAAAAATAAACTTTAAAAACGCTGTTGTGCAATCAATCCGGGTGGGGAGGGAAAAAAGGATATGGAAAATAAATTTTAAAATTCCAAAGACATTTACATTTTTTATAGGGTTCTTCTGTCTTAAATTTCCAGATCTGGATAAAAGCACAAGTATTTTGATGTTGTTGCATTTTTTTCAGTATTGTAGATTGGATACCAAGTATATAGAAAATGTGTTGTGTATTTATATATTGGATATAAAGATATTGTATAAAAATATAATGATACTGATAAGCAAGCATCTGAGGAATATATGGGGTTAAAGAAAAGTTTAACTTTGGTTTGAGGCAAGCATGGGAGCTGATTCAGTTAAATAAGTTCTGATTCGTAAGTTCATCCATTTTATCTATGTTGATATCAGAAAAGGATACTTCAGAGAAATTCTACTATCACCTATACTGCTGTAAATCTTTGGTGATGTTACTGCAGCCACTGAAATATGTTTTATAAAATCTGTTTTTGAGTGCCCAAAATATCAGAAGAATTTACAAAACCTTTCTCTGGACATCGTCAAAAAGAAAAAGGGTTCACCAATTTCAGGAAATTGGTTCAGAGAATGAAGAAGGAAATTGTGCAAAAACATAAGCACTACTGTAGTAATTAGTATCATGTAAGATTATTATAAATGAACTAAATAAAAGGTCAAAACTAGCTCTTTCGATTTGTCTTCTGTGTGCACTCAGTCAAGCAGCTTGTAGTTAACTCTATTTTGTTAGGTCTCTGTAAATATCCAGAGATGGTTTAATTTTTTTTTTTAAGAAAAATAGTTTAAGGAAAAAGGAAATTTGGATGTGCTACTTAAGGATATTCTATTAGAGTCTCCATTTAAAAAAAATGTAAAATTGAATTCAGTTTGAAAGTTTCTCTTTAAGAGTTTTTGGCATCTTGTTACACACACAGTTTATTCCAGCTTTGGGAAACATATACTGCAAATATAAGCACAAAGGTGGCACCACTTTAGTGGGTGTAGTAATAGAAATGTATTAAAATACACTTGTTTTCCTGTTTAGAATTCACAGGGAGTATTTATTTCACTGTCAAACATAAGTCTTCATGAAAACTCTCAGCGTTCTTCACCCTTAAGATGTCCAGTCCTCTTCCCTGAATTTCTGGTGAGCCAGCCAAAGGGTGAAGGGTGGATTTTGCTTTTTTTGAGAGTGGAGCCAAACCAGAGCCTCTCTGTAGGGCTTGAGGCTTCCCTGGTCTGCTTTTCCCTGTTTTGACCCAGCCTTTTCCCCCCATGTGCTTCTAACAGTCTGTTGTTCCTGCAGCACTAGGACCTATGGAGCACAGGAGTTCTCAAGCCATACAGAAAATGCCAAGGACAGTTTGGACCCATGTGTTCCTGCTTTATTACTGAGCACTCTTGGGAATAAACCTTTCTGTTATTAACACTGACTTAATTTGCAGTCTTAATTACATTTTCATTTAAATGTTACAATATGTCTTTCTTGAAGGCGTGAAAGGTTTGCTGGAAATGTTCTACCTCCTTTATTCCAGGATATTTTTGGAATATAACATTATTATCAAATAGTGCTTCTGGACAACATGGCCATATGAATTTATAGCCTTTCAGATCTGCATGAGTTTTGGTTTAGGATCTTATTAAATACCTTTTGCTGGGAATAGAAATAAAATACTTCTAGTATTTTGTGTTTCTTATTTTTGCATCTGTGATCTATAAGTATCCTTTATCTATTGTCAAGGATTTGTATCTTAAATTACACTTAGTCTATTTTCTTTTTTGTCATAAGTAAGTATGCACGCAAATGCATACTTACGTATGCAATATTTATATATGCATGCATATTTATATACGCCAGCGAAGAGTTAAGCATCTTTTACACTTAAATATTAAAACACATGAACAGAAGAAAAAGAGCACTGCTTGAAGGTGGGACAAAACAGATCCACCATAGTCTTGGGAGGTACACTTAATGACTAGCTCAGCACACTTAGAAAGGGTGATGGGTGATGTTTTACCTAAGAGGCCAGGGATGAATCCCAGTGACTAGCTGACCCTTAGAATGTCTTGTTTGTCCAGCTGGTTCTACCCCATTCCTAGGAATATTTATTTTAGGGTGTTGACCCAGTCCTTGAATCTTCTGCCTTTTAATCACACACCCTAATACTTCACTGCTGTAAGGTAAAATTCTGATTCCAGGGACTTCACGTTAAGAGTCAGTTTGCACAACTGGTCTGGTTGTGCAAAACTTTGTTTTTATAGGTCTATTATTTAGGATTTTTTTATTTTTAAATGGATATATTAGAGCCCCATCAAATCTTGACCCCTTGGGGGATGACTTGACCCCTTCAAGTCACTCACTTTACACTATTGTTCTCTTTTATCCTTTTTAATTCCCCCTGCCCTCCCAGCCTCTGATCAACTATCTTTTCAGATTTCTCATTTATGTTTGAAGTTGAACTAGATAAAGATTCTTGCCTCCATTTAAGACTTTCTTTGTGGATGCTTGCAGCACAAAAATGAAGGGAGGAGCAATGTCAAGATCATATTATAAAGCAAAGCTTTGTCCTACACATGTGTTTTCTAGTTATACAAGTCTGTATTTTTAAATGGTTTATTCTGTTGATCTCAGTAAAGATCAGGCCAAGCCACCCCTAAATCAACTCTGTTTACTGTCCCCTAAACTATAAATGTCTTTGAAAGGGACTGGTGAATAGCATGACGTGAATGGTCAATGATAAATATTGTTGATACAATTGTTACCCTTTGCTTTCCAGAACTGATTTTATATGTCAAATAGCTTAATAAAACAAGAGTGGATTGGAACCTGCTTGCTGCTCCTTGCTAATAATAGTGATCTGGATCTTCTTGTCTGAGTTTTAAACTAGACACATTCTCTAGTTTTCTTTTTATGCTCTAACACCTGCTTCTTTGGTAAGGCATGAATTTTGAATATAGTTCTTAGAATTTCTCTTGCTCTCTTTTTATCCTTCAGAAGTTTAAGGAGATGATTTACAATCGTTATAAGGAGTTTCAGTTTCAGACAGGAATACTGTACGGTTTTAAGTTGTTTCAAAAACATCTGAGATATTGTCTAATTCATGAACTCCAAAGGGGTGCAGATGAAGCTTGGGATGCTCCTCATCTTGGGATGCAGCTTGGGAGCAGCTGCATAATTCTGAGCAGTAGGAAATGGGATGGGATGCTGCAGACTTCATTCCAAGTGCTAGATTTCAAGTGCTCTGTAATTAACAATTAGGTGAAAATAATTCACACTGGGATGGGTTTCAGCTGTTTGTTGTCTCAATGAGTTTGTTCAACATGTATGACTGACAGCACCTTGCTTTCAGAGGTGGTTGGTGTGGAATTTAATATAGTGCAAGGGTAGTACTACCTGTGCCGAACACATTCCATAATTTCTGTAGCACCTAGACAGAATTGCAGAGTCATCTTTTGAGGTTTCAGTAATTAAAAAAAAAACTGAAGTGCCCTGCCTTTTTTTTTTTTTTAAAGTGTTTTGATAGCTTACCTGAGGTAAGGTAACGTTCCAAATACGAATGCAGTATCCCAATATTATATGCTGCAACACATAATCATTCTACTTTAAATAAAATTATCATTCCACATTATCATTCTACTTTAAATAAAAGAGTCTAGTAAATAGAACACTATGTCCTGTGGTTCTTCAAGGTTATTTGCTTTTCTCTGAAACAATAGTAATGAAAGGGAGAAAAGAAGCATGCAGACTTCACTTTAAAAGATACAGATCTCAGCTTGTCTGTTCACAGATACGTATCGGAGGGGCTGACATTCTTCAAAATGTTCACTGCTGCACACCGTAATGAGTGCCAATGTAAATATTGGTATATGTTAGGTTCTCTCTATTTTGGACTTGGTATGTGCGAGCAGGTCACTTTTGTGAGTTGTTGTGTTGGAACTGACTATGGTTGCAAAATGCAGACCTTGACAACATAGGCCAGGGCCAGAGTGATAGCTATGAGAATGTCACAAAATTACCTGATGCATTCCCTTTGGATACCCTTTATACGAGCTCACTGGCTATCCCTGTGCTCTATTTTTCTGAAGCCTCTGACACATCTAATGATATCAGTCCTCCTTGTTTGATTTCTGTCATTGTCATCTCTCTAGTTAACCCCCAAAGACTTTCACTGACTTCTTAACCAGATACTGGCCATCCTCGTATGCCTAGGAAGAAAATTGGTAGCCTCTACAGAGCTGTGTCTCAGCTGCCAACAGCTTATAGCTGAAGGCAGTCTTGAGGTACAGTTGTAATGGTGGTGGCTCATAAGCTGGGAAGGCTTGACGTGCATGTGAATTTGTCCATTTTTTGAATATGTATGTACTTTTTCCTGTTTGTGCATAGAAAAAAGTGCAAGTCCTTTGGGAAATGTACTGTCTATAAAGTTAACTCCTCTTCCTCAAGAATATCCCATGTATATTGCAGGTTTTAAGTAGGGTTGCTCTTTTTTCTTTTTTTCTTTCTTTTTTTTTCTTTTTTTCTTTCCTCCCCCCCCCTTTTCCTCCCCCCC